TCACTCTCTCTCTCTCTCTCTCTCTCTCTCTCTCTCTCTCTGTATATATATATATATATATATATATATATATATATATCACGGTAATTCTTACCAGTCTAACAGGTTCGACGTGATTCACCGACAACATATTCGACCTTTTTATATCTACGAGATTGTTGCGTTTTAAATTATTTTAAAAGCGTTTTATCGCGGTGGACTTGTTTCAGTTGGTTTTACGATCTTTAACGCGTTGAAGGGCATTTCATAAGATTGCACAAAACCACACTCGAGATTACCTATTTTATTTAAAATTCCAGAAATAGCTCTCGTTAAAAATGCGTTGCGGGCTTCCCCGGCTTGGCTGATTTATTACGAATTTTTCAAAATTAACTTGCCTTTGATCCTAACAATCAATTAACATTATTTTGCGTATTTATTGTTAAAGTGAAAATTCAAAAATACCTCCTGACTAAGCTCCGCTATCTAAGTTTGTGCTTCAAACGACCAAGTACGCCCAGATGGATTTCCCATTACTAAACCAATGCGATTAATGCCAAATACTACCCATATATTCCAAGTCCCACGAGTGACTGACGATCTCAATTTCAAGTGATCGAACGAAATGCGATACGAATGATAAACAGCAAAGCCAGACGCGCACTACATCCTAGAAAAGTTATTATTCAAGCCCAATCAAGTAATCCCATTGACACTGCTATTTTAAATCCCTCGTTTCTTTAACTCCTCGATCGCACATCTTCGCCATCGACAATTTAACGCTCGTTCTCGCATCGTCGATGTGCGCATGAATTTCTGATCGTCTTATAAAGCTGCCGGAAAACTCGGCAGCACCTTCCCTCTCGGTACATCCTTACGAACGATTTAATAGCCGTGTCGAGGGCACCGAGGAATTCGCGCGCTGTCGATAATGAGGGACCGGTGGCGAGGATTTGGGGGATGGGTGAGGGGGTAGGGGGATGGGGGGTAGAGATCGTACGATTTCGATACACGTGCGCGACCAGACACAGGCCGCTTTGTTACTCGCTGCCGCGAAACGGTGAAAGTGAAAAAAAAGACGATAGCCGTGGTTAGAAAGTGAGAGAAGCCGATAGGAATTGGACGCGTGTGGGAACGGGAGCGCCGCAGCCCGATTATGCCGGACCGAGGAATTATCGCGAGACCGCGGAACCTAGTGGAATTCCCGTCGACGCGTAAACATTGTCGATCTCGGTCTGTGGGTTCGGATGTGTACGGATGTTAGACGGTGAAATAATAACCGAACACCGCTTTCGTTGTGCCGAGCTCAATGTCGCGCTTACCATATACGCGTAATTGGCTGAGATTTGGGGGTTGCCAATGCGTCTGTGATATTTATTTTTGGGGATCGTCGTGTCTGTTTATGCGCCTAATTGATGATTCGAGAGATTTTGTAAAAAGAAAGGCGCGTTTCGGAGTGTTAAATGAATTATAGATGGTGAATAAGCTATTTGAAATGCGCTTAATAAATCCCAATTATTATTGTCGTTGCGTATGAGTATGACAGCCGCGCGCCCTTTTCATGTACATTAACAAACTATGTAAGACGCGTCTGTATTGTCATCGATGAAATTATCGAATCGACAGTGCTGGTGGTGTGATTGATCGAGTAAGATACCGAGGGACCTTTTCGCTTATCCGCAGTCACGACGAATATTCCGATCGAATTGATTTTTGATGACGAAACGTTAGGAATAATGAAACTTATTCGTTATTTTCAGAAGGAATTTCAAATAAACTGTCCGACGCTTTGCAAATAGACGTGAAACAAACGTTGCAAAGTAATGTGAAAGTAACGGCACGTAAGATTTTCGAGATGTTTCGCTTAGAGTTTCATAATTGTTTTTAATCTTAAGCTAGTCCGAGTGAGCTTTGTTGACCTGAATTTGTCCAATCATCGGCGTAAAAATCGCAGATGAATAATCGATAGAATCACGCCAATTTACATCAATGTCACATTAAATGCGAATGAAATTCAACTCTTATAATCGTGGACTTACGATCGCGTTACCCTTATGATATTGAACATATCGCGTCTACGACCACCGCCATTGGAAAATCCAAAATGGAATCCAGTCCTACCCAGACTCTCGAGTTACCTGCATTTTCATATAATTAGCTATTATTCTTACCTGCACGTGGAATACCCTTACTCAAAACTAGATTCCACTAGATTTATTATGCAATAACGGTATAACGGTTATTTCACAACTACTTGATCGCACGGAATTTCTACATTTTTTTACAAATACGCAAACAAACAAATCATTTATTCTACATACGTAATATTCGTGTTCCTCGATGTGTGCACCATCGCTTACTTTTTTTCTTCGTGTAAAAATGTTTGTGAATTTTTATTTCATCTAGAGCAGAACGTACACTGTTTATTATATTTTATAGGACCGGAACATAATGCCAATAGTGAACAATGACTGAACGGGGACGTTAGGATTAAATATAAAATTCGAATACTTTACTTAATGAATCGATCGATCTTTATATATTCATTATATAATTTAATGCGATAAAATTTAAATGTTCATTATGCAAAATTGTTAATTATACGATGAATATAGTATCGCGAGGCGAGGCTTTTAAACGAGACAATTGCAACGCTCGATCCTGTTAAGCTAATTAGACTTATTTCGATAAGAAAGTAATATAAAATACTTATATTTCATAAATTCAATCAATTAAATGAAAACATAATCTATCAATTCCATTAATATGCTAGACTTTGAAATTGTATATAAAGTAAACTTTAAACGATAAGCGATAAGATGAAAAATGTTGGTGCTCGCTATCTTAATAAAACAATGTACATTAATAAAATTTGTTGAAAAACAAACTGGCAGCTTTGGCAATGATCTACTTCGACTTCACTTCGTTTCGACCTTGTACAAAATGAACTTTATTTAAATGTGATGAATTAAACGTATGAACGAAATACAAATGAGTAAACAAAACAAACAAATTCATATTAACAAATATAAAATGAACTAACAAATATAAAATAACATTGATTGTTAAGAAATTCG